CCATATTTAATCTAATTAATCGGAAAGCTCTTTTTTACGTTTTTTTTTTTCTAGCTCTCATTGCAACTGTCAATATTGCAATGAAAAAAATATGAACCTAATTCATCAATTGATATTCATTAACTTTTTAATATGTTACTATTACAATACCAAAATTAAAATTTCAAATTTCTATGATATTTATGCATAATTTCTTAACATTCATTTAAAAAAATTTTCTGAAAAAAATCACTAAAATATTAATCCTGTCAGAAGAGAAGTCAATATTTTTTTTCCACAGTTCCACACAAATGTTACTGTTGAGACAGATCCATGAAATTTATACCAACTACCAATCAAGTCATGACTGCATGATTTTTTCCATAAGCTGCTTAAAGCCCGAGAGACACCTGGGCTACAATGGTCCATGTGCTAGCTCCTCACCGAGCTATATATATTCAAGAACAAAAGCCAGGCACCGAGTCCATGCACGCCATTTCCCATGTTCATATCAACAAAATGTCCGCTTGTGTCACCACCTTTTTGGATGGTAGTACATTTTTTCCATTATGGTGGGCTTGGCTGAAGATAGTCCGAAGAACTTTACTAGGCAATTAACCACTCCAAAAGAAATTAACCCACTCTGCGTTTTTTGGGTACTTGATAGGTCTACTGCCTAGAGCAAAATTCAACCAGGGTGGGCGACTTTTAGCATCTTGGAATCCAGCAACTTCGAGGGCTGATTTTGTCGTGGCAAAGGATGGCTCCGGTAGTCACAAAACAATCAATGAGGCAGTGGCTGCTGTTGCTAGGATGGGTGATAGGCGTCCCAAAAGAGTAATAATCTATGTGAAATCAGGGGTGTACAATGAGAAAGTAGACATAGACAGGAATGTGAAGAATGTAATGTTGGTTGGTGATGGCATGGATAAAACAATTGTAACAGGCAGCCGAAATGTCCCCGATGGTACTACCATTTTTGGCTCTGCAACATTTGGTAAGAATGAAGACCTTACTTCTTAGATGATTCCATAAAAAATTTGGATTCAAATCTTTGTATCCATTAGAGTAACTTGAGAGGATACATGGTCTTTATTTCATCTTCTGCAGACGTATCAGGTGATGGGTTTTGGGCCAGGGACATGACTTTTGAGAACACAGCCGGTCCGAATAAACTTCAAGCAGTGGCTTTAAGGGTGGGCTCAGACCACTCTGTGTTCTATCGCTGCAGCTTCAAGGGTTACCAGAACACCCTCTTTGTTCACTCCCTAAGGCAGTTTCATCGCGATTGCCACATATATGGCACAATTGATTTCATATTTGGTGATGCCCCAGTAGTCTTACAAAACTGTGATATATTCGTAAAGAGACCGATGAATCAACAAGCTAACATGATCACTGCGCAAGAGAGAGAAGATCCTAATGAAAACACAGGGATTTCAATTCAAGGATAGCGCGTAAGGCCAGCAGCTGATTTCGATTCTGTCAAGCATTTGTTCAAGAGTTATTTAGGTAGGCCATGGGAAAGATATTCCAGGACAGTGTTTTTGAAGACAGACCTTGATAGTTTAATCAATCCAAAGGGATGGACGGAACGGAGGGGCAGTTTTGCTCTTTCAACACTATACTATGCTGAATACAGGTAGCGGTGCTTCGATTGCACACAGAGTGAACTGGCCTGGCTTTCATGTGTTCGACAGTGCCCAAGAGGCTGGCCCTTTTACAGTGAGCAGGCTCATACAAGGAGAGGCCTGGATTCCAGAGACTGATGTGCCATTCTGGCCTCAAATCTAATGGGTTTATCATGCTCTTATGCTATGTGATCATGGCTATTATGTAAAACGACATAAAATGTGAAAAAGCTCTTGTAATATGATCATTTCTCCATTTAAGTTTCTTACTTTTTATTGTATTTAAATAAGATTTTATATTTTTTATCATACATAATTAAGCTTTTATCTAAATAAAAAATTAATTATTATTAAATCAACATCAACTAACATTTAATGTCACATAACATATTTAATAAATTAACATAATCATATAATAATTGATATAATAAAAAAAGTTACATTAATTGTTTATTCATATGTCATGTAAATAGAGAATGTTAATTGATATTAGATTTTATAATTGTTAATTTTATAATAAAAAATTAAAATTCATTTAATGATGAT